GTTTTAAACTAGAAGCGAGCTTTTTTGTAGCATCTTCCCTGACCTTAGGACATTCAAAAACATCACGACCAACGACGTATTTTGGAAGAGTAGTCACTGTTATAGGGAAACTTAATAGTTAATTGTAGAGCAAGGTCCCAGAAAACAGCACTAAGTTAAATGGGCAGAGAATTTATTTTAGCTGCCGACTGAGGGATAAGTATTGGCTCGGACACCCCTAGAACTTCGGTACCCATCTTCAGGTAGAACTACATGATGTCCACGGTAGAGGGAAGACAAGGCCCTGCTTTAAGGTCTTGACTGAAAGATGGTTTCTGCCTTGGACTCCTGGCTCTTTGTGGAATCTGCCAGTGCTGCCTGGTCTCTCAAGGCACCTGATACAGGTCTGACATGAATAGAATCATCCCCACTGTACTCGGAATATTATTTATCAATATTGTTATAGTATTTGTTAGACGTTCTGAAACATTAACATCTCAAGCTGCTCACTATCTCAGTTCCTGTCATACCTGCAGGAATTGAGTTTCTTTTAGGGCACAACATTTAAATATAGCTCAATCTCGAAGAAATGATCCCTAAACATGACAACAATGAAAGGACAGTCTATTCGGATGTAACCTGTTGTTTTAACTAGAGTTAAATACCTGCTTTCTGAATTGAGCGGACATCAAATACTATTGCACTTAACTTTTTTTAATTTTTTTTTACAGTTGAGTGCCCTGTCACTCTCCAATAGTCACAATATAGTTTTAAATGTTCTACTTTGTTACTGATATGGTCAGTTATAATCTTCATCTCCATTAGGTTTAAGATAAAAAGACCCATCAACCAGCATCCTTTTATAAACAACATAATTATTGATGTATTATAAAATAAGACTTGGAGTCATTGAGTCATACAATATGGAACAGACCCTTTGGCTCAACCAGTCAATGCTGAACGTAATCCCAAACTGAACTAGTCCTACCTGCCTGCTTCTGGCCTGTATCCCTCCAAGATTTTCCTATTCATGTACTTAACCAAATGTCTTTTAAAGTTATAATTGTACCCACATCCACCACTTCCTCAGGATGTTCAGCAAATTTGCAAATCAAATTAAAACAATTTGAAGTGTGGAAATATAAATATTTTCCCTTCTAAATAACACTAGACACATATACCAATTAAAGATAAAAGAACTTTCTCTTTGGAGAATAACCTCAGTAGGTAAAAAATACTTTGGCCAATAATTGCTAGTTCTTGAAGGAAAAAGGAGGTATGAAATATTCAAGATGACTTTTGACATGTCAACAAACAAAGGCAGTTCTTTGTGGGACTTTTGTCGATGCAGTTCATTCAGGAAACATCAGGAACACCTCTTCCAGAGGCTTTTCAGAGGACAGCTGGCTCAGTATCTCTCTGACCCCCTCTCTGTCTCTCACTCACTCACTTAGCAGGCTGTATGCCAAGTGAACGCCAAATAAAATCAAAAACAGTAACTCCTGACGGCCATAGATGCAGGTATGTGATTTGTAGGAAATAAGTCTTAGCAATTAATTTATCCCTTGTGACCTCCAAGACGTGTCTTTAGAAATAAAATGTTCCCATTTGTCCTTTTAGTAACCTGTTTGTAAATTAAAATAAACTAGTCCAGGTACCTCCTCAGTGTTTTCAAATGAACGATTGTCCACAGTCCTTTAACATGAATCCTCAGAGTGCCCTTTCATTGGAAATAAAATGGAGGCAAGCACCAGCAGGTAAAGGGGACATGGACAATGCAGACACAATCAGCCAAAAACCAAGCATCATTCTATTTACCAATTGGACATTATCAAATATGAACTTAACAGCAAGAATAGGCCATTCAGCCCCTTGAGCCTGTTCTGTTTAATTAGTGATTCCATATTTTAACTCCATTTAGGTAAGTGTGAGGTGCTGCACTTTGGGAGATCAAATGTTAAGGAAAAGTATACAGTTACTAGCAGGACTCTGAACAGCATTAATGTACAGAAGGATCTTGGGTTTCAAGTCCATAGCTCCCTGAAAGTGGCCACACAATTAGATAGTGTGGTTGGTCAGAGCATTAAGTACAAGAGTCAGGATGTCATGTTGCAACTTTATAAGACTTTGGTTAGGACATGCTTAGAGTATCACATTACAGGAAGGATGTGGCGAGGGTGCAGAAGAGGTTTACCAGAATGCTACCTGGATTGTAGGGTATGAGCTAACAGGAGAGGCTAAAAAAACTTGGGTTGTTTTCTCTTGAGCATCTGAGGCTGAGGGGAGACTTGATAGAATTCTGTAAAATTATGAGATGCATAGATAAGGTTAATGGTCAGAATCTTTCTTCCAGAGTTGAAATGTCTAATTCTGGGGAGCATGCATTTAAGGTGAGAGGGGAAAGTTCAAAGGAGACGTAGGGGGAAGGTTTTTTACCCAGAGTGGTAGGAGTCTGGAATGCACTGCTGTGGATGGTGGTGGAGGCAGATACGATAAGGGTATGTAAAAGACTTTTAGATAAGCACATTAATATATAAGGATTGGAGCAGTATGGACCAAGGGCAGGCAGAAGAGATCAGTTTCATTTGGCGTCATGTTAAGCACAACATTGTGGGCTGAAAGGCCTGTTCCTGTGCTGTACTGTTCTATTTGCCCATTATGACTAAATAAACATTAATATACTGCCTGAATCAAAACCTATCTGCCTCATTTTTTAAAGTGACAGCTTATTGTAAGTTTCAACAGTGTTTGAATTTTATTGGGGCTGGTGCTGGGTGGAGAGTTCTTCCCTTTAGTGGAAGATTCTGTTCCCTGGTAGCAGCCTGGAACAGTGTAAAACTCATCTCAAGATCAAAGCACGATTCTTGAGATCACCCTCCCTCCAAACACTCCAACAACCCCAAACAAAGAAAATAGTCTCTCTCTCTTGACCCTACCAAATCATTTAGTTATCTTAAATAGCTCCATTAGATCATCCCCTAACCACCTCTACTGGAGGGAATACGACCCTAGGTGGTGAAGTCTGTCCCCAGTGCTTAACCTGGTTTGAGAAAACTTGTTGATTTGTTTGCCGAGCTGGTAGGTTGGTTTACAGATGTTTCATCACTGTACTAGGTAACATCATCAATGCGCCTTCGATGAAGCGTTGTTGGTCTGTCCCGCTTGTTATTTATGTGGGTCTGGTCTGATGTGGTGGGTGACCTCATTTCCAGTTCTGCTTCATAGTTGTTGGTATATGAGGTCTGTTTCCACATGTTCGTTGATGGAGTTCCGGGTTGAGTACCAGACCTTTAGGAATTCCCGTGCATGTCTTTGGTTGGCTTGTCCTAGGATGGTTACATTGTCCCAGTCAAATTGGTGGCCTTCTTTGTCCAAGTATGGAAACATGTGATAGCTGGTTGTGTCTCTTGGTAGCTAGTTGGTGTTCATGTACCCCGATAGCTAGTTTCCTCCCAGTCTGTCCGATGTAGTGTTTGTGGTAGCCCTTATATGGGATTTTATACATAATGTTGGTCCTGTTAGTTGTGGGTGTGGGATCCTTCGTTCTTGTTAGTAGTTGGCGTAGTGTAGCTGTGGATTTGTGTGCTATCGCGATTCCTAGTGGTCGGAGTAGTCTGGTGGTCATCTCTGATATGTTCTTGATGTATGGCAGGGTGACTAACGCATTCGGGCATGTTGTATCTTCCTGTTGTTGTCTGTGGAGTAAGTATCGGTGAACTACGCTTTTTGGGTAGCCGTTTATAAGGACACTATGGAGATGTTTTTCTTTGGCTTTGCGCAGTTCTGGGGTGTTGCAGTGTGTTATGGCTCTTTTGAACAGAGGTCTGATGCAGCTCTGCTTGTGGGTGTTGGGATGGTTGCTGTTGTAGTTACGCATTTGGTCTGTATGGATGGCCTTCCTGTATACACTAGTCTGGAGCTCACTGTTAGCTCTTTGTTGGACCATTAAGACCACTGCTCCGACCACTAGGAATCGTGATAGCACACAAACCCACAGCTACACAACAACAACTACTGACAAGAACAAAGGATCCCATTCCCACAACTAACAGGACCAGCATTATATATAAAATCCCATGTAAGGACTGCCACAAACACTACATCGGACAGACTGGGAGAAAACTCGCTATCAGGATACATGAGCACCAACTACTTACCAAGAGATGTGACCAACTATCACTCATTTCCATGTGTTTCCATACACACGGACAAAGAAGGCCAACAATTTGACTGGGACAAGTTTACCATCCTAGGACAAGCTAACCAAAGACACGCATAAGAATTCCTAGAGGCTTGGTCCTCAACCCGGAACTCCATCAACAAACACGTGGAAATAGACTCCATATACCAACCACTATGAAGCAGAACCAGAAATGAGGCCAACCACCACATCAAATGGACCCACATGAGTAACAAACAGGAAGGACCAACAACGCTTCATCAGAGGTGCATGGATGGTGTTACCAAGTATGGTGACAAAACATCTGCAAACCAACCTACCATCTCAGCGAACAAATCAATAACCCCACTTAAGTATGGCACTTTCTGCAAGTACAAATGGATGGAGGGCGTGGGGGGAGGTCTTGTAGTGGAGTGGTTAGTGTCCCTGTCCCTGAGGTTCTGGGTTTGAGTCTCTCTCCAAGCCTTGATGGTCTAGGAAGGTGCATTCATAACAAGGCCAAGTGGAATGATTATCCACTTGTAAACACTTCAAACACACACCAAAGGCAGACGGATAGACTGGGAGAGATTCCTGGTCACTCACATGATAGAAAGATTATTGGAACCTCTACTGTCACTGCCCAAAGCTCTATGTTGCAACATGCCTGTAAAAGTGTATGTTGCCATAACAACCTGGACTCCCAAGGTGGGTCTGTAACACACCATCCCCTCATAGGTATAAGATGTTGCGAACTGACAATTTCTAATCGGGTATTATATTGTCATTCCTTTCTATTTGTCCAGAGTGAAACATTATCTGTCTTTCTATGAACTGATACCCTGTGTTTAATATTATGTAGCCAAGGGGCCTAAATCTCACAAGATGCAGCAAGCCCTACTTCCAGTAGTCGAACACGATACCTGCAGCAGGTCTGACTGGTGGGGAACTAACGTGATGGACACCATGATCTGTGTCGGAGGGTATTCCAAGACTGCATGTGAAGTATGTCATTAAATCTGTACGTTTCAAACATTGTTGTGGTATGCACTCATCAAAGGGAGCTGTCACATTTGCTTACACCTGATGACAGTTTGTAAATTTGTTTTTAGGACGTGGGCATCATTGGTTAGAACAGCAGCCTCTCCTTGGGAAGATGGTGCTGGTGGATCATAGGAACAGGAATGAATGTGTGATATAACTCATTGCGTTAATGGCCCTTCACTTCTAAGACCCGACTTAAAATCTAGTCTAGTCAGATGGGATAAATGCCTTTGCTTTTGGAATTTCATGAGATCTTATTCCATCAGTGAGCTCCCACTAATACCAGTGTGATAATGACCAAATAATCTGTCTTTTTTTTGTGATGGTAACTGAAGGAAAATTATGTCCAGGACACCAGGGATCACTCGTCTGCTCTTCTTCCAAATCTTCTAAAGGTAAGAGCAGACTGGGCCTTGGTGTAACATCTCATTTGAAGGATGTTGCCTCCCCCCATCCCTTCCCTCCCCCCCACCTGTCTCCCCCCCAACAGGGATGGAGGAGGAGCAGCAAGGCAAGCAGAGAGACCCTGCACAGGTTGCAAGAAGTGAATGAAGGAGATGAAAGAACATGTGAATCTTCAAGAACAACATCTGTAACTAGGTCTCACGGAGGTGCAGTGTGTGATGTGACTGTATTTTAATGAGGAGGCAGTGGCCTTTATATTGGTGTTACCTGAATACAAAAGGCGATGACTTGGAATCTCCTAAAGATGAGGAAGAGTGGGAGGAGGAAGATGAAGAAGAACACAAAGATGCAGAGGAGGAGTTTCACCCACTAGGCCCACTGAACCCAGAGACTGAGAACATTGCAAAATTCTGCTGAAACATCGAGAGCACTGACACTCCCTCCTTTCATCTGACACACTTACCCTCAAAAATGTCCAACTTCGTGAGTGTTCAATTGTGGAGACCAACAGCTGATCAAAATCTCTTCAGACACACTCCAGCCTGAATTTGACGAATGGCTATGCAGCTGACGTCTGCTGTGTAAACTCTCCCCGAGACTCTTGTGAACTTGACTACTTATTCTCGTACTTCAAAGTTCCCAATGGAATTAGCAGGTGTCAGGGGCAGTAACACCTCTATCATCTTTAATCTCCAGCATTGTAATGATTCAAAGTGCTGCTCTCCTCGTTGACAGTGGTTCTATTCTATTCAAGATAAGTAAAACTTCACCATCCATCTTTCAAGAGAATAGGAGTTGGAAGGTCACTTAACCTGTTATGAAGGCCCTTGAGCTGGTAGTGGTGGGTGACTGTGATGATCTGTGTCCAGTAAATACTGGTTACAGATTGCTGGGCTTAGCTCTGTTACAATCCCAATCTAACCAAACATTCCTGGTCTTTCAGAAACAAAATGTTCACCGCAGGGTTACGGTACTTTTTCTGAACTGTCATATCATCGTTTCTAGAAGGAAAAAAAGCTATTATTCGAGTCTCCTCCAAACTGTTATAAAAACTTTCAATTTCTGGGCTTTGGAAGCCAAAATCAAACCAATGCTTTTCAATGTTTAGTTCCTGCTGTCATTAATCTCACAGTATAAACAAACTTCCACTAACACTCCAGAATGTTTGCAGTGATCTGCTCTCTGACCTAGTTTTAAACCTTTTGCACCCATATGCCTCTAGTTTAAAATTCAAATGTTAAAAGTAGCATTTATATCGTTAACAGCATTTTCCAGGGCAGTCTGACCTGCTATTGATATGACCACCTTGGGGGTAAATTGATCAGTCAATGCCAGTTATAGAGTCATAGAGGTGTACAGCATAGAAAGAGACCCTTCAGTCTAACTCATTCACGCTGACCAGATATCCCAAACTGACCTAGTCCCATTTGCCACCATTTGGCCCATATCCCTTAAACCCATCCCACTCATATACCTATCCAGATGCCTTTTAAATGTTGTAATTGTACCAGCCTCTGCCACTTCCTCTGGCAGCTCATTCCATACATGCACCACCATCTGCATGAAAAAGCTGCCCCTCAGGTCCTTTTTATATCTTTCCCCTCTCATTTTAAACCTACGCCCTCTAGTTTTGGACTCCCTTATGCCGGGAAAACAACCTTGGCTATTCATCCTATCTATGCCCTTCGTGATTTTATAAATTTCTATAAGATCATCCCTCAGCCTCTGATGCTCCAGGAAAAATAACCCCAGCCTATTCTATCTCTCCCTATAACTGAAACCTAGTTGTCCTTTATTGTGAAAGATGGCTGTTTCCTGGGCGCATAAAGCCATTGGTTGTACAATCTAACTTGGTTGTGGAGGTCCTGGCAGACCTGCAAGGATGAGTTGTCTGGTTTTGTTGGGACTCCTGCCTTTTTAGCTTGTCTTGCTTGCTTGCCTCCTTTGCTGTCTGAAGGATTCAGAATCAATACTTGAGAATGCTCTGCAGGTTGTTCTTTCTTGCAAGATTTCCTCTCTGCTCATGGTGGACATGCCACATTTCTTGAGGTTTTCCTTCAAGGAATCATACATTGCAGAAAAAAGAATCATTTTGGTGAAGCTTTTCATCTTGCCCTTGTCAGGACAATTTGCAAGAATACCAATTCAAGTAGAAATGAACATTTTTACTGCATTGGCTAGATAGTTTCTTCATGGCAGTGTCTCTACCAATCAGAGCCCACTTTCCAATCAACCAGGACTCTCCTTGCATGCTGTATCAATGTTGGTGTTTCCCTTTGAATTGGTATTCTTGCAGATTGTTTTGATGAGCACAAGGCTAAAAGACATAGACAAAAATGGTCTTTTTTCAGCAATTAGTATGTTTCAATCAACAGAGGACACAAGTCGAGTAAGATCACAACAAGATTGAAACGATGTGTTCCATGAATTGCATGGAAGACTAAAAATGCTGACAAGAAAAATTAAAGTCCTGAATTACGAAGCTATTGACATCGCTCAGAAAGGATTAATTAAGGCATGTTTAGAATGGGATCAGGAGAAAGGGAAACTCTCAAAGTGAGTATGAATAGAACAGAATAAAACCCATACAGTGTCCATATAGCCCAACAAGTCCATACCGACCCTCCAAAGATCATCCCACCCAGACCCAACCCCTTACCCTATCCTAGTAACCCTGCATTTCCCATGGCTAACCTATACAACCCTGGACAGTAAGGGCAATTTCCCATGGCCAATCCACCTAGCCTGCACATCTTTGGACTGTGGGAGGAAACTGGAGCACCCAGAGGAAACCCACGCAGACACGGGGAGCATGTGCAAACTCCACGCAGACAGTCGCCTGAGGGTGGAATCGAGCCTGAATCCCTGACATTGTGTGGCAGCAGTGCTAATCACTGAACCATCAGAGATCAAAGTCAACAGGAATGCAAAATATTGTATCTGAACATCAAAACCATCTCAGCAACGTTCTTGAAACATAGAAATGGGATTTTGGACAGAACAGAAATGAATGGTTAGCACATAGAATTTATTCTGACATTGTTTGCTAAAACTGAGAATTTACTGGGATTGAGTTCAGAAAATCATCTTAAAGATGGAGTTATATCCACAGCTGATAAAAAGGTGGCAATTGGGCTCCGGTCTTATCCAGAATATTCTTTACAGAATCAAAAGAAGATGGGTAGGAAAATTATCAATGTTGTTACATTAATGCTAATTAATTTAAACTCTTCTGACCCTAATCGTTATACAGACTTCTGTTAGTTTAAGGCAAGCTGTCCTAGTTTTATAAATACGTTATGTGCAACCATGTAAATAATCTGTGATAAGCTGTTTCTTTAGAGGTTTATAGTCAGAAACTTTTGTATTTTATAAGCCATCCTAAAGAAACCTTCAGTATAATGGCACTTTTTTTTCAAGATGTAAGGTGTAATTAACTCCTTTTCTTATATATTTTTATCTAACCCATTTTTCTAATCAACCTGTTCAACGATGTTATTACACACCTCTGGAGCGGCTGGGACTTGAATCAGGGGCTCCCAGATCGGGGTAGGGGCGCTATCACGCACCACAGGAGGACCCCTTCGTTTTCTTATATACATTTTATCTTCCTGTCCAATCCAGCACTCAAAGACCGTTGTAACATTCAGGAAATAGACAAAAAGTATTGTAACACTTGAGTTCCAATGTCCAATACAATATTTGACTATTCCAAAATATTAATTACATTCAGTTTTACCTAGGAACAGGGGCAGAGCTTAGAGTCATACATCACGGAAACAGACCCTTCGGTCTAACCAGTCCATGCCGAACATAATCCCAAACTAAACTGGTCCCACCTGCCTGCTCCTGGCCCATTAGCCTACCAAAACATTCCTATTCACGTATTTATCCAAATATCTTTTAAATTGGTAACTGTGTACCCACATCCACCACTTCCTCTGGAAGTTCATTCCACATACGAACCACGGTCTGTGTAAAAAAAAAAAATTGTCCCTCATGTCCTTTTTAAATCTCTCATTTTAAAAATGTGCCACTAGTCTTGAAATCCCTTATCTTAAGGTAAAGACAACTACCATCAACCATATCTATACCCACCATTATTTTATAAACTTCTATAAGGTTGCCTCTCAACCTCCTATGCTCCAGTGAAAAAAGTCCCAGCCTATCCAACCTTTCTTTATAACTCAAACCTTCCATTCCTGGCAACATCCTGGTAAATCTCTTCTGAACTCTGTCCAGCTTAATAATGTCCTTCCTATAGCTGGGCACCCAGAACTAGACACAATATTCCAGAAGACGCCTTACTAATGTCCTGTACAAACTCAACGTGACTTCCCAATTCCTATACTCAAAGGACTGAGCAAAGAAGGCAAGCATGCCAAATGTCTTTTTAACTACCCTGTTGATACATGATACAAACTTCAAAGCATTATGTACCTGAGCCCCTCGGTCCCTCTGTTCTACAACATGACCCAAGGCCCTACCATTAATTGTATAAGCCCTATGCTTGTTTATTGTACCAAAATGCAATACCTCACATTTATCCAGGTTGAACTCCATCTGCCATTTTACAGTCCATTGACCCATTTGATCAAGATCCCTTTGTAATCTTAGCAAACTTTCTTCACTGTCTAGTATGCTACCAATTTTGATGTTGTCCACAAACTGGTTTCAAAGTTTTCAGTAAGCTATTCAAAACAGATAAGGGAGTCACTGAAGAGGCGTTCTCAGGTAACATTTTTTTTGGAAAAAAAGGCAGACAAAGATACAAGCAAGCTCCATGCAGAAGAGAACTGTTGAGCCATGCTCCTTAAAAAGGCAATTGAACCATACTGGGTTTGTGTAGTTGGTGACTCAGTGAGGTGTGATGAACATTTGGATGGCTCTGTGCTGTTAGAACTCAGCAAAACGCTTTTGGAGTTAGTACGTGGAACTCAGGAACATTCCCTATTGGAATCTGAGCTCTGGGACACTCTACAAACTGTTGAAATTTGGAAGAAGCTGTGTTCCACTAATATCTCAGTGCAGCTGTGAATGGGGATAAAGGAAACTCACAAGGAGTATTTTTTTTCATCCATCTGAGCCACATTACAGCCCAGGAAACAAACCTAAGCACAGCACGGCCTTGGTGAAGCTCACTGTCTGTGAAAAACTGGAATTGTGCATTTGAGCAAGTGCTGAAGTGCAGTTTCAAAAGTCCAGGGGAGTGTAGACCCAGGAAAGCAAAATGAGGAATCAGCATCTTTACGCTCCTTGAGGACTTATGGTGAGGAATTCCATCAGCACCCCACGTGGATGTGGAACCCATCAATATTTCCATCAAATGCAGCAACAAATATACTGTCAATCTACAAGAGTTGCAGAAAAAACACTGGGCTAGTTTGTGACAATGTTTCAGAATGAAGAGGTGAACAAATGACAGCAAGGTTGGATTTTATGTTTAACAACAGTTCTGAAGGCACACAATTTTGGTTTCAATATATCGAGGAATAAAATGAAATAGGTAAATACTGAAAATGTGCTGTTCTGTGCTGAATTCTGTTCATCAGGCTGTTCTAAAACAAATCAGTGGCCTGGTGGTTTATAGCCTCAGCCCTGGGGTAATGAGAAAAGGAGGATTCCCTTTGGCTCTTCAATCCTACCTCTTCATTCAGCAGTTGGCTGATCTGATTCTGATTCGAGCTACTTGTAATCTGTAATCTGTAATAGCTTTAACTTAAAAAAAAACAAGCAATTTCAGGTTTGAAATTGTCAATTGACTAATTATCGACAGTTTTTGGAGAGAGAGTTCCAGATTTCCACGACATAACAGTTTGTGTATGACAATCAGCAATGCATTAAATCCACCTGCTGAAGGTATTCATCATGCATCACTTAATGTGTCTACAGATTTTATATTTATAAATTTAACCTAGTTTGAAAAGTATAGACGTGATAAATTAAGAGGTAGCAAACTATGGCTGTTGAATAATTCTGAAGTAAATAACATGATTGTAATTTTCTGTTTAATATTGGGCTGCATTGGGATTTTCAGTTTTCTTTATTCTTTCAAGGATGTCGCTGGTAAGACCAACATTTATTGCTTGTCCCCAGTTGCCCTTTGAACTGAGTTGCATTGCTTGGCCATTTTAGTGTCAACCACATTGCTGTGGGTCTGAAATCACATCTAGGCCAGACAGCGTGTGGATGGCAGATTTCCTTCCTGCAAGGACATTAATGAAGCAGATTACAACAAGTGGTGACAAGTTCATGGTCACCAAAACTGAGATTAGCTTTCCGTTCCAGATTTACAAATAGAATTCAATAAATCTCTGGAATAAGAGTCTAATGATGACCATGAATGCATTGTCGATTGTTGGAAAAACTCATCTGGTTCGCTAATGTCCCTCAGGGAAGGAAACTGCCATCCTTCCCTGGTCTGGCTTGCATGTAATTCCAGACACACTGCAATATGGTTGACTCTTAACTGCCCTCTGGGATGGGCAATAACTGTTGGCCTAGCCTCATCCCATGAATGAATAAAAACTGAATTTAAACTCCACCACCTTCCATGGTGGGTGTCAAACCCACAATCTCAGAGTTTAGGCCTGCGGATGTCTGGATTATTAGCCAGTGACATTGCCACAACACCACCATCATTCTGCACCCCCACTCCCAGCTCCTTTGGCATTCCAGTTAATTCCATTTTGGAAGATGCAGGGTAATGATAAAACATTGAGTTTCAGGATAAGTGATCCTGCAGTCTCACCTGTTGGGATTCATATTGAAGGACTATGGACATGAATCCCACAAACATCCATCTGTTGCATTTTCCAGTTTGAATCAGTTTCAGAACCCAAGAAATTGGATATGACTTTCTGATTTAGAGAATTGACATCTGGTGTGGAAAATGCTACGTGGAGCTCAGCAGATGCTAATGGAGCTTTTGTAAATTCTGAGACAATAAAACCAACTGAATTTTAAGACAGCCAAATGGCAATGTATTTTCTTTTTTCAAGCAAAGGAACGGTATAATGGAGAGATTTCTTTTATCTCAGGGTGACCCAGGAAGTCCTTTGAATTGTTTTGGTAGTGATGGTAGATGGTATGTCAACGGAGTGGGGAGCTTTACAGGAACCTATCCTTGTAACACAGCGAGAAAGCCAACAGTCTACACCCGGGTATCTGCCTTCAACAGCTGGATCAATGATGTAAGTCCATCTTTAAGCGCCAACCAGGAAGGTACCATTTTTCCTGATTTATATTTCTGCACTTTAAGTAAACTGTGAATATAAAATTAGCTCAGCCTTATAGAGGATGATGAAATGATAGTCTATTTGAAAGTTTGATATAAAAACCAAAAGAACTGCAGATGCTGTAAATCAGAAACAAAGAACAGAAATTGCTGGAGAAGCTCAGCAGGTCTGGCAGCATCTGTGGAGAGAAATCAGAGTTAACATTTCAGAACGAGTGATGATATGTTTTGTCCTAAGTAGTAAAATGATACTTCAGGTATCATAGATTCCATACAGTGTGGAAGCAGGCCATTCAGCCCATCAAGTCCACAGCAACTCTCCAAATAGCATTCCACCCAGACCCATCTCATCCCTGGAAGCCTACATTTCCCATGGCTACTTCACCTAGCCAGCACTTCCCTGGACATGATGGGCAATTTACCATGGCCAATCCATCTAACCTGCACACCTTTGGACAGTGAGAGGAAACCAGAGCATGTGGAAAAAACCCACGCAGATGCAGGGAGAATGTGTAAACTCCACATAGACAGTCGCCTGAGGGTGGAATTGAACCTGGGTCCCTAGCACTGTGACGCAGTAGTGCTAACCACTGAGCCACCATGCCACACCAAGGTATGGTCTTTAAAGAACTAATCCTTCAAAGTTAAAACACTCTAAAAGGTAAAAAAACCCAAAAGAACTGTGGATGCTGGAAATCAGAAACAAGGAAATAATTGCTGGAGAAATTCAGCAGGTCTAGTGAAGAGAAAGCAGCGTGAATGTTTCAGATACAGTGACCCTTCCTCAGAACTTTAACAGGTCTGTCAACTGTAGATGACAAGGGAAGTTATTGACTATATAAGATTAAATAAAAGGTTTTATAAAGTCACCAGAAATAGTCATAACTCTGAGGATTGGGAGGTTTATAGAAAACAGCAAAAGATGACAAAGAAAATTATAAGGAAAGGGAGAATGGAATATGGATGCAATCTAGCAAAAAAAAACATTAAAATGTACTGTAAAAGCTTCTATAGGTGTTTAAAAAGGAATCATTTGGCTAAGATGAATGTGGATCCATTAAAAATAGTGTTAGGAGAATTTCTGATGTGACATCTTTCCTTTCCTTTATTTGTTCACGAGATATAGGAGTCTCTCACAGGCCCATATTTGGTGTTCATTGTTAATTGCCCTTGAACTGAGGGCCTTGTTTGACCATTTCAGATGGCAGTTAAGAGCTAACTAATTTACTGTGGGTCTGGGCTGAGTAAGAGTGGCAGATTTTTTTTCCCTTAAGGGCATTAGCGAATGTTTTTATTACAGCAATTGGCAACAGCTGTCATGGTAGCCATTATTTAGACTGGCTTGGTATTTTGCTGGCTGCTACTGAAAGGTCTGTTGTGCTGGGATTTGAAACTACTATCTCTAAACATTAGCCTGGGCCTGTGGACTGTCAGCCCAGTGACTACTGCATCCTTATCGTGGCTCTGCTGAAGAAATCAATGGATATGAAGTCACTACAGCAGGGTGTAATTAAGATTGATTAAACTGGTTCAACAGGCAGGTCCACAGGTGACCATGTAGCTACCAAAAGCATTCTGTAACAAGCTGCTCATCCAATCAAAGACTTTAGTCCATCTGGAGCAATTGTAGAAGAGAAACAGTCCGTCCAACGGGAGGAAGCTGTGAATGTGTCAATCAGGCTGAGGCCCTGGGCCATGCCTGTGAGCCTGTGGATTAGGGACCAGGAGGGATTCAGGGGCGGAATTGAAATGAATCTTTTGTCTGGTCATCGTGAGGAGAATGAGGACGGAATGGGCCTTTGGTGGAGGATGGGGTTTTGGTGGACGATGGGGTTTGGGTGGACAGCTGTTTAGCGTGTGGGGAGGGAGGAGAGTCACTAGAATGAAGGTCAGGCAAGCCGCTGGGAGAGATGTGTGAGGGTCGGGGGTCAGGGTGTCTGCTGGGGGAGGGGCGGGGTGTATGAGGGTCAGGGAGGCTGCTGGGAATAGGGGGGGCGCG